GGTTCATTGACCTTCTCACAGCCTGGACAAGAACAGTCAACCGCAGCTGCTGCAGGTGTAGGCAGAGCTTTCTCTGCCCTTTCCTTCAAGATCTAAGAGGAGTTTTGGATAATGGGGTAAGGTTGTGCAGAGGGAGCAGCTGTATCATTTCCATGAGGGAGCAGCAGACCAGGGCTGCTCTGCTCCCCACGCTCCTCCTGTGAATAATAGGTCATCTCTTCTCCGCTCCTCCCGCCCCTGGGCTATTTCTAACTCTGCAACACCAGGCCTGGGAAGCAGGAGAGGACCCCTTGGAGCTGCCCTACCTTGGAGGTATGAAAAACCTGCATAACTTCAGGAGGAGCAAATGCGGGGCTGGAAGCCAGGACATTTATTGATTGGGGCCTGAGGATGCAGAGTTGATGCAACGCTGCCAACCCCCAAAGTTCAAAATTCATGAGATTGGCCCCCCAAAACCCAATATATTGTGTTTTTTGGTCTGTCTTTTGATTTTTAAACTTCCCCTACCCACTCCCAGTGTGTGTGACAATTAGTGTTCCCAACGCTCCCAGATTTATGGAGCAAGATGATTTTGGCCCCCTTTGCCGGAGCTCTCACAGGCTGCCTCATGGGGTGGAGTTTCCAGCTTCTGCCCAAGACCTCAACATTCTAATTAATAAATTCTGTCTCTCCCCCACAGCCCCCAGATCAATTCTGTGACATCCCCCTCCCCCCGAGCCTCCACATCTGCCTGACCCCAGTCTCGTCAATCCTGCCACACATCAATTCTCCCCCAGCCCCACTGCTCCTCTCCTGCAGCTCCAGGGCTTCTTCAACCCCCTCTCCTTCTTCCCAGTATGGTGTTGCAGGGAGAAAGATATGCAGAAATCAGACTAACCCACTGTTCAAAGGAAGGGAGCGGGGTGGAGGAGGCAGGGATACCCTGAACTGCTGGGCTCCTTCTCCTGCCTACTCTACCCCAAAACTCTCCTGGCTACTGAGGGGAGGGGGCAGAGCTCTGTCTTTCTCCTACAGCAGCCTTGATTGGCTGCTCTTCCCCAGGAGATGGGGAATTGGGGAAGGCAAACAATTAGAGGGTTTCCCCCCCAGACAGGACTGAAATTTAAGAGAGGGCTCAAGCTTCTGGCACCCAGATTAGCTGCAGCCCCAGCCAAAATAGCCTTCCTGACAAAGAAATTTAGAGAGTTGGCAATGCTGTTGAAGTAGAGGCTGGAGCACAAAATTAATTGACACACTAAGAATAAGAATAATGATTAATGATGATGTAGGGGAAAGGTGGCCAGAATCGTATTTGTCACTATGCATTGGCAACACTATTTGTCATGGACAATCTGCAGGTTGGGTAGGGGGAGTTCAAAAATCAGAAGACAGCTCAAAACAGCATTTTTTTAAGCTCTCATGATTTTGGACCAATCTCATGAATGTTTTGGGTCTGACTTATGATTTTTGCATTCGGGGCTTGGGAATAGTGGAATAATAGCGGTGGGAGGGACTATGGCGCCACCCAGCAATGTGTCCAAGGGTTGGTGTGGTAATTCCATCTTTCGTGGAACCTTAATTATGGGACAACACCTAATTAATCACATGGATAACTTCACCCTTACAGTATGTCTATACGGCACACTCCTTTCAGCACCATGTAGAGCAGGGGTTCCCAGACTTGGTTCGCGGCTTGTTCAGGGTAAACCCGGGGCAGGCTGTGAGACGCTTTGTTTACCTGAGCGTCCACAAGTACGGCTGCTCGCAGTTCCCATTGGCCGGGAACAGCGAACCGCAGCCACATGGAGCTGCGAGCGGCCATACCTGCGGACACTCAGGTAAACAAAGCATCTCACGGCCTGCCAGGGGCTTACCCGTGAACCAAGTTTGGGAATCCCTGGTGTAGAGTAAATGCATGACACTCCCCCCTCCCTCAATCAGGGGTGGCAGGTTTTCATAGATTCATAGATTCTAGGACTGGAAGGGACCTCGAGAGGTTTGTATAATTTTTGGTGGTGCCCAGAAGAGGTCCAGGTCCCGCCCACACACACACCTGCCTAAGGCTCTGGGAGGACGTTTAGGTGTGGGCTCTGGGATGGAGTTTGGATGCTGGGTGCAGGCTCTGGGCTGGGGCAGGGGGTTGGGGTGTAGGAGGGGGTGTGGGCTCTGGGAGGGAGTTGGGATGTAGGAGGGGGTTTAGGGTGCAGGCTCTGGGAGAGAGTTTGAGTGCGGGAGGGGTGCAGGTTCTGGGAGGGAGTTTGGGTGTGGGGTCTGGGCTGGGACACGGGTTGGGGTGCAGGAGGGTGTGCGGGGCATGAGGCTGGCCAGGGATGAGGAGTTTGGGGTGTAGCAGGCAGGCTACCCCGGGGCTGGGGGCCAGAGAGGAGAACTTCCCCCAGCCCTCGCCCTGCCGGCAGCAGCGAGCTCCAGGGGAGGGGAGGACCCCTCCGCTCCCCGGCAGGACACTCACGCAAGCCCCCCCAGGCTGCTGCTCAGGAGATCCAGCCAAGATAAGCCCCCCCCCCCCGAGTCGACTCAGAGTCTCCTGCCGGGGGGCGGGGAGGGGCTGCCATGCACCTCTTCCCCTCCTCCCTCCGCAGGCACAGCAGCCACCTCAGCCTGCCCCCGGCTCCTCTCCCTTGTAGCTGGCAGCAGCTGGTGAGGGAGCTCAGCGCGGAGCTGCAGGAGGCAGCCGCCCACTGCCCAGGGCAGGCAAGGATGCTCGGGGGAGGTGCGTGGGGGCAGCAGGCGGGGCCAGGGGATGCTCCGGGGGAGGCGTCCACGGGCCCATATAACTAGCCGCCCCTGCCCCCAGCAGTATAGATGATGAGTCTGCTTAGGCAAATAGAGCAAAAACATACGTGAACCCTGTGGGTATGTACCCAACATGGCTGAAGCCTTTCCCTGCTGCAGGGAATGACTCCAGCAGTGGGGAAAGGCTCTCCCTGCTGCTGATCCTTTCCCCACTGACTCTCCCCTGCCAGAGCCTTTCACTGACATATGTAGCTCCACACCACAGTGTGGACACAGCCCGCTTTTCACTGCGACATGTAGCTACACATACCCTACATGCTGCTGCAAGACGTGTGCAGTGTAGATGTAGCCTTAATGATATGGAGGTGGGAGGAAATTTTGTTTAAACATATTGGGTGTAATTTTGTGAGCGGCCTGAGGGAGGTACAACAAAACACTTGCTGCCTAGGGAGAGGAGAGGTAAGGTGGTGGTAACCACCTTTGTGCCTTTCTGATTCTGGGCTGCCGCAGGGGCTGAACCAGTGCCTAAGCTACAACCACCCAACCCAAACTGTCCATGGTCCTCTACAGCCCTACTGGCATTTCCCCCCCAGCCCCTGGTCCCTATACCGGAGCTTATGGAGTGGGCTTTGTAAAATAGCCTGTGGCAGTCTAATTCAGTTCCTGCTTGAGGGAACTCCTCCCTAGCCAGATCCATGGTTCTTTTATGCTGCTGGATCCCAAGAGGGAGAATCCTCTAATTTTTTCCCCCCCAGAAATGAAAACAATGAAATTCTAGGGAACGCCTCATTAGGGATTAAACCTCTTCAAAGCTGACAGCGGCTGTATTATTTGTACATTTTCTGACATTCCTGCAATTATAACAAAATGCCTTTGAACTAATGCTGAACAAATGGGATATTATTCATGCAACTGTCCATTTGTGACGTTTATACCTTTTCAAGAACGCATGTACGTACACACACACAGACACACACACCACCTAATCCTGCATTCTTTACATACCCAAATCTCCCATTAACTCCTAATGAGAGTTTTGCAAGTGCAAGGAACACAGAGGCTGGGCCTCTTGGTGAAAGAAAGGAAGAAAGAAATCTCCATTTCATTAGAAAAATGCCACTAGCACCAAGCAGATACTTCATAAAATAAAATTATTGTCTATATTTAAAGTGAGGGGCAAGAAGCATTTGCTTATATTAAATAGGTGGATTATATGTGCATTTGTTAGAGAGACAGATTTATTGAGGTGGAGTAACAAGATATTGTTAAACATTAACCAGCTGAAATCAATGGAGGGATCAAACCCTCTCATGGGGAAACCTGTGGGAGAGGCCCTAGAAGGAAGCAAATCTTGAGCTTTTCCCAAATTGTTTCATGGAAGAAGGAAGGTAGAACTTGGGGATCCCTGGGATCCAGGCAGATCTCAAGGTCATTTATGCAAAAGGGCCCGTGCTTTTACTCTCCTGCTCTGCTGCAAACTGATTACTTTGCAACTCTACTGACAGATGCCCCAATAACTACCCTCCCTCAAGTGTGATTCTCTATGCCGACAGAGCACTGTGAATAAATGAATGAAGCCTCATGAATCCACATTTTGAGTATATTTACTGCTTGTGTACAGAAAGGGAAAAGGGTCTCTCTCTTTCATTCCCCTCCCTACTACATTTTCTGCCTTTTCCCCACATGAGGATCTCTGGACCCACGGAGGGTCCTCTGTATGATGGAGAGGAGAGAGGGGGAAACCAGTGTCAGAGGCAGCTGACTCCCCGCTCCTTTGCATGTGGAAGCAGAGGAACGAGAGCCCCCTCAGTGTCTGTGTGAACGATTAGGCTGAATCACAGACTTGAAATACAAGACCATAAAGCAACTGTAAAAAAAATGGCAGCTCTTCTGAATTTCAGTAAAGAATTCATGCAGAGAAAGCTTTCATGCCTCAGTGAGCTCAGGGTCACTTCCTCATTTGCAGGCTAAATTCCATAGGCATCTATCAACTCACTCATTCACACACACATGCTCCTAACAGAGCTTGCACAGACAGTCTTATTCTGGAACCTGCCTGAATAGCATAGCTAATAAAGGCACATATCTATACAAGTCCAAATAAAAATTAAGTCTAACGCTGAACACACAGAGCAAACAAGTTAGAGTATATAGACATTTGGCACAGGGGGAATTCCAAAATTATTAATTCCTAGCTCTTCAGCACTAGTCAAAAATGCTGTGTTTTAAATAGCAAGACAATAAATAGGCCACATAACGTTACTCACCTCTGCAGGAAATGCCTTGGCTGTCAATGGCTTGTTTGCAGATACTACAGTCTTTGGGTTTTTTAAAGGTCTTGTTTTTGAAAGTGTGAGAACTTGAAGCGAGGTTTTCTGGCTGGAATAGAGGAGAAAATGTCAGAGCGCTTGTCAACTTTTGAATGTTACGCTTTAAATGTAACAAAACAAATGAAATTTATAAATAGCCAAAACAACCGCTACATATTACATTATTCAACAGTACTCACTCAATCTCCCCAAATGCTGCATTACTGATATTGCATGGTGTAATATATTGAATAATTACTGTAGAATTCTTTATTACACTAAAGAATTAGGGGCCACTAAAAGGTAATTTAAGTGAGATTAAGCATGTGTCTACTAACCTAATGCTTTCTCTACCCAAGACAGTTCCACTTAACTTAAATTGGTTTTAAGTCGATTTATGTAATGTAAGTAATGCCATATTGGCTATTTAACTCATTGGTGCCAAAAGATGTTTGGACATTCTTATTTCAATAGCTAAATTGAAGTATGCTTGGTTTAAATCAAAACAAAAGTGTCTACACTGTCTTTTGTACCAGTTTAACTATATCAATTTAAAATCACACTTAAGTTAAATGAGTGTAACTTTCTTGTGTAGGCAAGCCCTTAATGTTTTTCCTTGGATTGGGCCCACAATTACTGAAATAATTTATTTAAACAAATAAACAAACACATAAATAATCAGGGAAGGGAAAAGAGTAGACAACTCCATGAAGTCCACTGGGAACTTCAATATGCAGAGTGGGAAATGCATAGATAATTCAATAGTGAAGGCTATTGAAACCCCAAGACACAAAGAGAGAGAGACAACTACCAGTTCCTCTCCAAAAGCCTAACATTCAAATCCATTAGCAAACTTTTAGGAAGCATCTCTTAATTATCTTAAACCCCTTTTAAAATTTAATAATGGAAAATTATTTCTTTCTCTTCTTCTGCAATACTGGATAGTTTCACAAACCAAGAAAGACCGCACCACGAACTAGCAGGTAAAAATTCTGCCCCTCTCTCCTCACTAGACAAAGCATGTCTACTGCAGAAAGGCAAAGCAGCAATAATGCCATGTTGGCTGCAAAATAGCATGGTTGTTGGCTGAAGTCCTACTTAGAAATGGGAAACAAAATTTGGTATGTATTTAAAAAAGGAACGATGCCTTGGACAATGAAAATCTCAATAGAGTTTCTATAAGCCCCATATTTACCTCCCCCTTCATGCACACACAAATCACTCTCCTTAGCTATTAGAGTACAGTGGACATGTTTACTTTTGAGCAATTGCACTGCACTACTGCTGTCTAGAATCCCTAGTTGGAAACCTGTCCCTCCATAACAGATAACCTAACGTGTAAGTATAGCTAGGAGCTCATAAGAACAATTTACATACCCCTGAAGGGTGCAAACTTTCAAATGTGAGAGACAGCATGTTGCAATGGACAAGATTTGGGTTCTGTTTATGGCTCTGAAATGGTTTTTTCATTGTGTGACTTTGCACCTTGTTTTCCCCATCTGTAAAATGGGGATCATGATATTTACTTGTCTTTGTGAAGTGCTGTGGGATCTAGAGATGAAAAGTGCCAAGTCCTAATATTACTATACATATCCAGAAGGAATTATTTGAAGTGAAGAAATAAAATTTAGGCTGAACTTCAGGAAAAACCATCTCATAGTGAGATGTATTAAACTGTGGGATACTCTTCCTAGGGAAATGGTGGAAGATCCTATTCCTTTGGAATATTTAATACTAGATAAAACAGTCGTGAATAAAGTTGTATTGCATTATTATTACGCCTTATTAATTATTCAGACTGATTGCTAAGGGTATGTCTACACTACAGGATTAATCCGAATTTAGATAATTCGAATTTGGGAAACAGGTTGTATAAATTCGATTGTGCGCGGCCACACTAAGCACCTTAATTCGGTTTTTAACCACATTAATTCGGTGGTGTGCGGCCACACTACCCCATTAACTTAAACACAGTAATTCGGTGGTGTGCGTCCACACTAACCCTAATTCGAATTAACAAAATCGATTTAGGCTCTACTCCGTTCGTCGAGGTGGAGTACAGAAATCGATTTAAAGGGCCCTTTAATTCGAATTAACTGGCTCTGTAGTGTGGACGGGTGAAGGGTTAATTCGGATTAACGCTGCTAAATCCGAATTAATCCCGTAGTGTAGACCAGGCCTGAGTGTATTCCTATAAAAGCTGGAGTCACAAAACTTCCTATTTGTTTGAGGTATTTCTAATCATCTTGTATATGTTTGCTTAGTGCTACTTTACCTTTAGCTGAAAATCATGACCATAGTTACGATGCATATTAAAGATGAACTGTAAAGAACCTAAGTGCACTTGTGCCCTTTTCCATTCTTACATGATACAGGAACTGGCACAAATGATAAACAATACACCAAGTTTCTGCTCAAAGATCTTTTTCCTGCTTCCTTTTTTTATATCAGAAATATGGAGGGAGCTTTTCAAAAGGCCTAAGGAGCATAACTCCCAGTTGCATCACTGTAACTTCACTGATTTCAGTGGCGTTACCTCTAATTCACACTGTGGTTAGTGAGGGAGCATTGGGGCCATTGAATTTTAGAGCTGATGACATTCTATGTTGCACATCACCATCGTGTCTAAGCAACTTCCACATAAAATCACCATAGCAAAAACAAAATTCCAAGTGGACTTCGCGGAGTCTCCCTTTTCCAGGTAAGAATTCTGGTTGGGGTGGTATTATTGGGTTTGGGTTTTTTAGATTTTATTAATTTTCTCTTTTTTTGTGGTTGGTTGGTGTTTACAGGTAGAAGGTGTTGTTAGCGTGTCAATGTCAATCCTATGGTCGAAAGGCCTTCTCGAAGAGGACATTTTTGTAAGATTTCCTAAAGACAGTCAGGCTGTGGATTTGCCACATCTTCCCTGGAAGTTTGCTCCACAGCCAGATCCCCTCCACCAAGAATGTTTTATCCCCACCTCTCATGCGCTTTACTCTGGGCGTGGTGATCTGCATTGTCCCAGAGGAGTACAGATGTTGCTGTTGTTTGCAGAGCAAAATTCAGTCTTTAACATGGCTAGGGCTTGATCCATTAACTAACCAATTAATCATTATATTTTATTTGTCATGTAAAAATCTTTTTTTTTTTTTGTGGCAGGGGATTTTTGAGGATAGTTTTTGGTCAGTATTATCCATCAAGTAATGGAAGGGCACACCCTTTTTTTTTTTTTTTTTTCATTTGTTTGTTTTGCTGCTCAATTTTATATCTATTCTACAGTTAGCTCTCCAAGGAATTCATGTAACAATTAATTTAGCCGCTGGAATAATAACATTTGCCCATGCATTATCAGTACACAACACTTCCATTGTGAAATGCGAAGGAGCCTGGATCAGGCTTCCTTTGTTATCACCTGGAATGGCTTTCTCAGTTCTCAATAGGGATGGTGCCAAGAGGAAAACACGGGGAGGCAGCAACAATACTCCCACTTTCATAAGGTTCAGGGCTGGAATCTAAATTGCATTTAATTGTTAGGAGCCAAAATTGGAAGAGAGAGTGCAGCACCACAGGTTACAGACTGATTATCAGCCTGAGGGACAGGCTGTAATTAGTGCTGGTCTTGATTGCTGGCACTATGCAATTTCTCTTTTTCAAAAAGCAAGCTCTCTCTCTCTGTCTCTCTCTCTCTTTTTCTCTGTTTAAACCACACAAGGAAATAGTCTGGGCGATGAATCCAACAGAGCCACAATGGAGTTATTCTAGATTTGCACCAGAATAACTGAGAGCAGAATCTGGGCCTCAGTGTGGAAATTCAGAAGTGGATCCTCAGCTATGCTTACTTCAAATATTTCTCACACCTCACCATCTTTACTATGTAGTGACAGCACAAACAGCTATACTGTCTTCCACATGCCATCAGATGTAAATTTACATCAGTGTTCAAACAATAGCCCAGCGGATTTTGGGGATATATGAAACTATCATGGGAGGAAGAATTTAATCCGAAAAATGTGAACGATAATTGGGAATAATTTAAGAACACTTTACAGACGCCCCCAAAAGCCACAATCCCACAACTGAGAAGAAGGCTGTGCTGGTTACAATAACAACCTACTTTAGAGTGGAAGTGAAGGCAGCTATGAAAAAATATATATAACAAATGGAAGAAAAGGGAAGTTGATAGTGATGAATGTAAATCCGAAGTGAGAAACTGTTGAAAACCGATAAAGGAAACGAAGAGACACAAGGAGAAATCTGTGGCCCACAGAGTGAAAGACAATAAGGAGGAGTTTTTAAAATATACTAGGAACAAAAATAATCCTGATCCATTACTAGATGCAAATGGTAAAACTATCAATAATAATGTAGAAAAGGCAGAAGAGTTCAATAAATATTTCTGTTCTGTAGTTGGGGAAAAATAGATAATAGTCTCATCAAATGGTGATAACACTCTTTCCATTCCACTAATATCTCTGGAGGATGTTAAACAGAAACTATTAAAATCAGACATGTGAAAAATCTCCGTGCCCAGAAAACTTGCATCCAAGACTTTAAAAAGAGCTGTCTGAAGAGCTCACTGGACCATTAATGTCGATGTTCAGTAAAATGAAAGAATTTCAGAAGACTGGGAAAAAAGCTAATGTGCCAATTTTTTTAAAATGGAAAGATCAGGATAATTATAGGCCAGGCCTAAGAATATAATAATGGCCATCCTGGGTCTTACCAAAGGTCCATCTAGCCCACTAGTGTCTCTCTGACCATGGCCAGTGCCACATATTTGTGGCAGTTGGAGGTTTAGGGACAACCAGAGCATGGAGTTGTGTCCTTGACTTTGGCTAATAGCCATTGATAGACCTATACTCCATGAACTTATTTAAGTCTTTTTTGAACCCAGTTATACTTTTAGCCTTTATTGCGTCTCCTGGCAATGAGTTCCAGAGGTTGACTGTGCATTGTGTGAAGAAGTACATCATTTGGTTTGTTTTAAACCTGCTGCTTATTCATTTCTGTGGGTGACCCCTAGTTCTTGTGTTATGTGAAGGGGTAAGTAATTCTTCCTTATGCCATTCACAATTCTATAAACCTCTG